AATACAAAATACAAAATATATGTGTTAAGTCAAACACTAAATTGTACAACCAGATCCCGGCGACCATTCGTATCAAAGGTATATTAGTTACGTACGAAATGAACATCGGTACTGAGACCGTGACTAACACGGGCAACACTGAAAACAACGATCTCGCTTACTGATGAATATGTCATTTCAAACCCGAACGGTTTTCACTAAATTGAATACCACTCAACATTTGTAGTGTGATATTCAATAGAAAACAGATTGTAATACAATCGCGACGTTCCGGGGTAAAAATTGTTCCAAAAATAAATATTATTCATGATTGCTAACACCATAGGACAGCATGTTATTGTATGCACGATAGGTTCGTATTCAAAACAAGATTGGCGTTTCAGATTTGAAGTGTTCATTTACGTGTCTGCGTCGAGCATCGACTACACAGACAATTACCATTAACCAACTTAGATAGTTAAATTGGTTTGCGTTTGGTTTGAATGTACAACTGAGGGCATGTTGTAATGCTGTGCTCTATAACTGACGTATCCTTGTTTGTTTTTGCACTGCTGAGTATTACATTGATTGGCGGAAATATACAAAATAAATAAACGTCCAGGACTAATATTATCCCACGCCATAAACTAGACTCGATTTGCAGTCCGTGTCTCACCTCAGCTGGTTGTCCAATATTACATGTATCTTTTGTGACCTCCTCTATAGGCGGGATTGACAAATGCAGTCGATGATTAGTATATACTAGTAGGTGCGGAACTTCCTCAATGTGGTTACACGTACGTATGAGTGCGGTTATAACAAATTAGTACATGTATTACTGACATAGACAAAACAGTATAGCTTGACTGTTCCTATAGAACTGAATGTGAAGTGCAACCATAAAAATAGCTATGGACTTTGCAGTGTAAAAGATGTTTCCTTACGAGCTGGGCGGGATGTCATGCCAAATTATTATTTTCTATTCGCTGTTATTTATTATTTTCATGAAAGTTTGGGTCAGAGGAAATATTTTATTTAATTTTTTTATCGATTTGATTGTTTGTCTAGCGGCTATAGACTCGGCGATAGGAAATGTTGGTAGTGTATTTTCCAATGGTAACAATGTCATACTGAAATAACACAGTTGTAAATTAAAAGCGATATCCGGGCAACTTGAAAAATATAATGCGATTTCCAGTTTTTTTATATTGCTTTTCATTCTCTAGATATTGAACTTTTTATTAGTTTTATGTTGCCAACCATCTTTATTCTCAGGCTCGAGCAAAGAATTATGGGTAAGTATGATATCATAACTACCTGCTGTGTGTGTGTGTGTGTTTGTGTGTGTATCCATGACACACACTGCATTTGTACTTGGCGATTACTAGCAAATAGTGAATATTTGATAAAATTTCCTTTAGAAGATATAACAACGTCTTTGATTTGGTTCTCACCAACAATATAATGTACACATACGCTGTAGCTATGGTTACGTGATATGCGTACCATAACCATGTGATTCAACTGAGTTGTATAAACCTCCATGTATAAACTGAGATACGTCACGTGGTCTATAATTAATGTTTATTCAGGTTATATTGATTCTGTAGTCTGATAACGTATTGTGTATCGATTGAGCGCGGTTTGAATCTGACATTCTTGATTGCGATTGATTTACATGTCTGTCGGCGGAACGTGACGTCAATATCATGTCTGGCTAATCGCTATTGATATTATAAACTAGATATATCATCGATGTCGGTGGTTATTCACTCATCGGGTGTGTCTGTTTGTCCCTGACGTTCCTCATCAAGACGACAATTGTCAGATTACCTTGTCTACAGTGTGACGTCAGCAAAGCAGGAAATGGGACACTTTAACGTAACTTGATGTACACACGCGATTTTTTTTTCTTTTAGTTATCCGTATCCGTGAAGCCTGAGCCCGACAAGTAACAACATTTAAACTTTATTCCTCGCAGTGTTATTATTCCAGTGACCCGATCGACTTGAGACAATTGTTCTACTGCAGTTCAGGGTGAAAACGCACATTTAAAGTATTTTCACTTAGTGTGAGCAGGCTGGTGTGAGCATGGAGGTAAAAAGATGGTAGATAATATATATATTTTTTATTAGACGTATAAAATCCTTAGGAAAGGATAAAAAGGGTCTTACAGAAAGAAATTTAAAAACTATAATCTAGAATGAAAAAAAAAACTATTCTAAAAATATAAAACAAATCAAAAACAAATATGAATAAACAATAAAGACAATTTGCAGCCAATGGTGAATACAGAATATAGAATGAGGTATGAGGTAGACGACGTTACACCGAAAACAATAATAGTACACCGTTACTATCGATATATTTTACGACAGTACTAGTAACTATGACCTGTGCGGTACACGGGTATACTATGGAGCTGGTAATATATCACAAGTCTACTGAGTTGAGACAAAGAGGCCATGACATTCTTTAAATACTAGTACATGCATACTAACATCGCCCACGCTATTGTTCTTGTTTTACACCCATACACGCAACTTGAAACGCGTACGCTCACTACACAATTAATTGTGAAATTGCTCCACCCAACTTTCGTTTTTTTTTTTCGGGGTGCAACGAGAAACGTTCTCACGTACATCCCGTTCACTTTACAAGACGTAGTGTGTGTTCTTGCGATTGTCTTTCATCAATGCAATGTCCGTGAGTTTGCACAAAAGGGACCCGCTATTGTTTTCTTTTCACCTGACTGAACAAGTGACATATGACCAACCTATTCTTCAGAACATAATACCACCCGCCCTCTCGACATTATTATTTTTTTTCCAAGGCGTGAACATTTATGCGTTATATATGTATACAAGTAAGATGTGTGAAATCGTAATTTACTATAAAAGTAACAACATTTGAGTTTTGTTATTAGTGAGCATCAGTATCCCTGGACGGGATTACGTACGCCTACAACAGGTGGAAAGTGACTCACCGTGCCGCGGCCACACCTAAACTCCCCTCGATGCTGATTGGTTGGGTCCGACATTATAATGAGTTGACTTCCATATTGGGAACGTCGACCTGATTTACATACGACGCCATCATTTGACACCAGCTTGTGGATTTTTGTGCACTGCGCGGTCTGATTGCCTATCAGTTGTTTTGTTTCTGGGTGATAACAGAGTTGGCAGTGATATCACAAGTGTTTACATGATTCGAGACCTTGGCAGTGACGTCAACAGTCCTTGGAATTGCACGATCAAGGAAATAGA